GTCTGTGCGGGAAGAGATCAGAGAGTTGAAGAAGGTGAAGGCCTTTTCGCGGACTCCTGTACTGTTTCCGCCTTCTCAGGCTATACCAGATGGTCTCATTGTTGGACTGCTGATCTTGGCTTTCGTCTGAAAAGCAGGAAAGATTGTGGTGTACCGTAATCCATCCATGCAGTCGAACCTCTGGTGGTCTGTGCTTCCCTATGCTCCCAGCTTGTGGGGCCGAGTCACCACGCTTGTTTTAACTTCTTTGCTACATGGCCAATGAAAAGGCCGCCTTCCAACGACATCTGCTTTCTGCTCTTCCACGCTATTGATGAAGCTCGTTTCGAAAACGGGGCGCATCAGTACAATGACGTAGCCATGGTGACCCCGCGGACGCACGCTCCCCGTCTTTTCTTTCTGGTTGGGGTCAGTCTTGGCGGAACACCGAATTGGGATGTCGACGTTAGGCTAGCACGTTGGCTAGAGGGTAACATGGCAAGCAGTACTGACGCAGCAACGCCCGAATCGCCCAACGATTTGGTTGGGCTCCCGATGGTATCTGGTCACGTTTTGCCAGGTGGCATATCCTGAACCCATCACTTTGCCGCCACGAAGGCGCTGTAGATTAATGCTGCATGATACAATAGCTGGAGCAAGGGAAGACCGTCTTGCTTTATTGGTATGTGAATATATGGTAGATACGGGCAAATAATGAGTTCGTTGCTGTCCCGAAACAGAATGACAGTACTCCAAGGGTACTGTACGTGTGGTTCAGCAAGTAGTATCGTGAAACCGATTGTTGTTACGACTTGCGCTCGTCACGGAGTTTTGATCACCGAAATCATGATTGCCGGTCACCATCGATGCGCGGCTTGTAACAATGTCCTCTGGCACTATGAGAGAGTCCCAGAACTTTGATTGCGCTTCCTGCTGTCGTTCCTAGCCGCAGGAGTGTTAAGATATGCGAAGAGTATACATTCCAGATTATGAAGTACTGTATTCTCTACGAGAATGCAGATTCGTTTCAAACACCGTCATGAAGCGTCACATCGCTGCATATCACCCGTACCGTGTCATCATGGACGAAGGAAATAGCCGGTTCCCTTAGCCATCAAGAGTTATCCTTACCCAACAGCAGAATCCGCGGTCAAAACTAGCATCGAACAGGCGAGGCTCACTCGGGGGTAATGGCGGCTGCCCCTCTCAGCGCGTCATTCGATTCAGCCCAACCGATCAACCAAGCCGATCAACGTTTCGCTTAGATTCAATCATTCAATTCATCAACTTGAGGGCCTGACTTGAGTTGATTGGGTTGAGTGAAGCGCTGGATCTTCTTGTTAGAAATGATTGATATGAGACCAATGTGCCGTCAATATGTGGTACTCGTCACGCTTGGGCTGGCTGTTACATCCATCCACCTAGCTCTAAACCATCATGGACTGGGTATCGTTGGAATAGTCATGCCGCAGTAGCCTTGATAGGCATTGCAAGAGGACCTATGCACCGAGACTTTCATAAGGTCATCACGAAACAAAGATCGTTCAGCCCTCAATTTTACAGCAGAGAGTGACAACGATTGGTACGGAGACGCTAGTTGATTGTTACTGGTGAATTGAAGCATCCGATGTCCTCGAAGCACAAGATGTCTCTCAGACGTGGCCGACCAGACTTCGGCTACAGAATGTAGGTGCTTCAATCCAAACCTTCAGGAGGATCAAAAATAAGAGGAGCGATTGAAATGTCCAGCTTATGAAATCAGCCATCCTCGAAAACCCTGATTCCTGCCCATTTAATGAATTCTTAGGGCCCCTGGCAGTGACCGAGTTAACTCTGGCTTCCGTCAACTGAACGGGATGCTTACGAAGGAGCTAGTCTGAAAAGCACGGTCCTGCCGTGAACGTTTGATTTGGTGTATCTTCCACAAGATCAGCAGCACGATACAGAAAACACCGCCAAGCCCCCCGAGAATACCCATTTCGACTGGCGTCATTGTTGATGAGCAAGGTTTTCGTGTTATCCAAAGTAGGGCCATCGTCATTTATATATTGTATGGCACTTCGTGTGAGTGCTTGAGGTGCGGCCCTGAATCGTGCCACAAATGATCATGGAGCTCAAATTGGCTGTCGCATCGAGGACATAAGAAGCACACTTCGATCCAAGAGAAAGGAAACACACAGCGTTCGGAGCCCAACCTGCAGAACTTTTTATTGCATCATGAAAACCAAGCTTATGTATCGGGCCTTACTTCCAGCATTCTTCATCCATGAAGCGCTCTGTGATGGACCGGAGACCCGACTTATCACCTGCATGTGCTCCATGGAGCTGCCTGCCACAACTTCTGCAGTGCGACCTCCTGTAGAGCAGACCTGCTCATACGAAGGGGGAGAACATATGACAAAGACTGGAGAGTTCGCCACGGAGATCGTGGAGACTTCTGGGACAGCCGAGACAGGAGGAGGAAAACCGCTGATTACCACGGTTACGCTTACATCGACGTCTACGTCTACAATCACGCTCTCGGTGACGCATGCTCTGTAGAGAGAGCCTTTGTATCCCTTGTTTCACAAACAGTGTCGTTCATCAAAAACTGCTTGGATCTCAAGCTTAGCATATCTTCAGCAACGGGCCTCAACATACATACCAATAATGCTTCAGTGCTCTGTCAGAACGTGATGCTCTCACTATGTAGCAACGGCCTCTCCCGGACTCATTCGAGCGCACGGTTGCTATCTTGTCTTCTTGGCATTCTGGTATTCTGTTGTAAAAACTACGTGATCGGCTCCATTTACCATCCGAAACTGCTTTTTGCCGCTGAGGGGCACCCCTGTTCCTTCCTCTATCACGTCTAGAAAACCAATCCAAGCACGGGAGGAATCATAACGAGGCACATGAAGCCTATTTCATACTGCCTCGACCCGCTATTCACGAATGCGGATGGGCTTGGAGGTTTCGGCGAGTGGAACGTCCACGAAGGTTTCACGGTTGTTGTGGAACCATTGGAAACGTTCGCGTTTGCGACTAGATATGGTGTTGCGAGACCCATGCTGGCTGTCTCCCGAGAAGCCTCCGAAGAAGTGGGGTCGGATAATTCCACATCCTCACTCGAACCGGATACCATGCCGACCGTGGGAGACACTACAGGCGCGGTTTCAGTCGCTAGTACTTTGTTCGCACAGGTAGTTGGGCAGCTGAATATTGTGGTTGTATGCACCA